CTTCTGCCTTAGTCTTCCAAGTAGCCAGAACTACAGGCACAGGCCACCATGCCCTGCTAATTTTTTGATTTATTGTAGAGATGAGGTCTCGCCAAGTTGCCCAGGCTAGTCTCGAACCTGCGGACTCAGGCAGTCCACCCGCCTTGGCCTCCCAAAGTGCTGGGATTACAGGCTGAGCCACTGAGCCCGACCCACCTCAGCCTTCTAAGTAGCTGGAACTACAGGCATGTACCACCACCCAGGTACTTTTTTGATTTGTTGTAGAGACAAGGTCTTGCCAAGTTCCCCAGGCCAGTCTTGAACCCCCGGACTCAGGCAATCCTCCCTCCCAAACTGCTGGGATTACAAGTGTGAGCCACCTCACCTGGCCACATTTATTATCTTCTAATTCTTCTCAACTCTTATTGATTTCTACTTCATTTTGCCTAATTTTTTTTTTTTTGGTCGTGTCCTCTTAAGACTGTTAGTGGTTTGTTAGTGTTATCTCTTCTGCCTTGGACTGTTTCTAGCTTTCCTTGATGTAATGGTTTTCGAAAGCCTGACTCTTACTTACCTCAAGGCCTTTAGATTTCCACCTGGAATCCTGGTAAGCAAGTAGCTAAGGCTGTAAAAAGAAATCTTTGGAAGAAGGAATGGATGCTTTTCACTATCTGCTATGTCGGCTATTTTGTATATTTCTTCTTCAGTGTGTTCCAGATAATCAAAATTGCCCTTTGAAGTATTGCTTTTTTTTTTTTTTTTTGCTTTTTTCCCCCTCCTATTTACTCATCTAGATTCCTTACAGTAGTTCTTTTACTTAAGTTGAATGTGTATTGTTACAAATTTTTTTGTTTTTTTTTTTTAGTCTGGATCTCACACTTGTCATCTGGAGTGGCAGATCCTAGCACACTGCAGCCTTAATTCCTGGGCTCAGGCAATCCTTCTGCCTCAGCCTCTCAAATAGCTGGGACTACAGGTGCACCACCATTCCCAGCTATTAAAAAAAATTTTTTTTTGTAGGGATGAGGTCTCATTATGTTCCCCAGGCTAGTATCAAGCTCCTGGACTCAAGCAATCTTCCTGCCTCAATCTCCCAAAGCACTTGGATTATAAGTGTGAGCCACTGCACCCTGGCTTGTTATAGATGTTTTTACTTTGTGGATTTAAAAATAGATATTTGGGGGATTATTTGGTTCTGTTATGTGGAAGAAAGATTATGGAATTGTTTTTTTGCTTCTAGAGCAGAAGTTTTCTAGGGAGAAATAGTAGAAAATCTTGTGTAAATGGTTTATCAGGCTTTCTAGTTTTATTAAATACAAATATTATGTGACAGTTGAAGGGAAATTATGCAAAGCTGAGGAAAATGTAAGTTTGAGGGTCTTTGGATATGTCTTTATGTATTTATGTTTGTATGTATGTGTATATTTATTATTTTTATGCCTGGCTGTTTTTTGAGTTTTTGTAGATATGAGATCTTGCTATGTTGTCTAGGCTGGTCTTGAACTCCTGGGCTCAAGAGTTTCTCATGTCTTGACCTCTCAAAGTACTGGAACTGCAGGTGTAAGCCACTGCGCCCAGTTGTCCTTGATAATATATATATATATATATATATATAATTCTATTTTATTTTTGAGTTGGATTCTTACTTCATTGCCCAGGCTAGAGTGCAGTGGCACGCTCATGGCCACCACAGCCTTGACCTGCTGGGCTCAGATGATCCCTCTGCCTAGCTTTCCAAGTAGCTGGAACTACAGGCATGTGCCACCATGCCCAGCTAACTTTTTTGATTTATTGTAGAGATGAGGTCTTGTCAAGTTGCCCAGGCTGGTCTTAAACCCATGGGCTCAGGTAATTCTCTCACCTTGGCCTCCCAAAGTGCTGGAATTGTAGGTGTTAACCACTGCTCCTGGCCTCCTTGTTTATATTTTAATTGCATGTAGATAGGGTAGATGCTTTTTCTTTGATCAGTATGCCTCCTAGGCTATAGGTGTGTTCCTTTAAAGTCTTACATCTGTGAAGCAATAGATTTTGTTCCCTTGCTGATGGCATGCTGGTGGTCAGAGATCTGAGGAGCATCTCTGACTATGTTCAGGTTATCCACTTGATCTAATTGGTTCTTGGGAAATGGTAAGTGATTCTAGGCATAATTTTGGATCATTTAGATGACTTGGTTCAAAGAAATTGTGGCCACAGGACTTAAGAACTTGGGCGGCTGGGCACAAGGGCTCAAGCCTGTAATCCTAGCACTTTGGGAGGCCGAGGTGAGAGGATTGTTTTAGTCCAGGGGTTCGAGACCAGCCTTGGTAACTTGGTGAGACCTTGTCTCTACAGTATATCAAAAAATTAGCCGGTTATGGCAGCATGTGCCTGTAGTTCCGGCTACTTGGAAGGCCAAGGCAGAAGGATCACCTGAGCCTAGTAGGTTGAACTGCTAGGTGGGTGGCCGTGAGCATGCCACTACACTCCAGCCTGAGTGACAGAGTGAGACTCTGACTCAAAAAAAAAAAAAAAAAAGAACTTGGGCAGTGATGGACTGTGCCCATATGATCTCTTGCCATTAAGTTGTTTTCCCCAGTTAGTGTCTGTGGATATTTCCCACAGTTACTATCTGTTTGTTTATATGTGTGCCACAATTGGGAAAAGGAAAGAGCCATTTTTCTGGGAGACAGCAATTGGAATCTTAGGTTCTCAAGCCTGTGGAAGAGTGTTTCACCCTCATCGCATTTTTATAAGGTTTCTCTTGTGCAGTTTGGTCAGAAACAGTAGTGGTAGCAGTACATGCCATTTTTGATCTCTTATTTGTGCTAAGTGCCTTTATATACTTTATCTCATTTTTTATTAGAATGATTACATGAGTTTTAAAATTATCCCCATTTCACTGATTAAAAAAATGAGACTCAGGCTTTGTAGTATTTTACTAAATGCAAATATGTGACAGTTGAAGGGAAATATGCAAAGTTGAGGAAAATGCAAGTTTGTGGGTCTTTGGATGTGTATTTATTTGTTTATTATTTTTGTGCCTGGCTAACTTTTTGATTTTTTTGTAGAGATGAGATCTTGCTATGTTGTCTAGGCTGGTCGTGAACTGGAATTCAAGAGTTCAGTTATATGACAATTAAGTGATAGAGTCAGCATTTGAATCCAGGACGCCCTAGCTCAAAAAACTATGCTCTTAATGATTAAATTACTGTCTTAACAGTCTTGACCTTTTCTAATGCTAAAGAAGAATAAGTAGCCGGGTGCAGTGGCTCACACTGTAATCCCAGCACTTTGGGAGGTAGAAGCGAGAAGATTGCCTGAACCCAGGGGTTCGAGACCAACCCGGGAAACTTGGCGAGACCTCGTCTCTACAATAAATCAAAAAATTAGCCAGACATGGTAGGGCGCGCCTGTGGTTCCAGTTACTTGGAAGGCTGAGGCGGAAGGATCGCCTGAACCCGGCAGGTCGAGGCTGCGGTGGCCATGAGTGTGCCACTGTACCTCAGCCTGGGTGACAGTGAGACTCCGACTCAAAAAAAAAAAAAAAAGCATAGGCAGAGTAGAAATTCTCATTATACGCCATTTAATACAGGTTATCTCTGTGTTTTGAATAATTAAAACAAATTTTCATGGTTGTACACGGTGGTGCATACCTGCAGTCCCAGCTATTTTGAAGGCTAAGGCAGGAGTATCCCTTGAGCCTAGGAGATCGAGGCTGTAGTGAACTCTGATTGTACCTGTGAATAGCCACTATACTCTACTAGCCTGGGCAATGTAGTGAGACCTTGTTTCTATAGAAACAAAAAACAAAAACAAACTTTCACATCTTATTTGTCCCCTCCATTCACACACTGCTTTTCCACAGGTAATTTGTACGTGGTCAGATGGATTTTGCTTGCATTTTCTCCCTTTTCTTAATAGAGAAAACCTTTAGGCCTTAAATGTCAAAATGAAAATCTTTCAAATAAAAATGACTCTAAGATTAGGCACCATAATGAATGATACAGAATTGTTTAAAATGACATCTTCCATGTTTCTCACTCTTCACTAGGAGATGCACTCTTAGGTCATTTGGTGAACAGAAAAAAACATAGCTTAACTAATATCATATTGGTTTTTCTGACTGGGGGTTAATGAAGTTAAATATTTATTTACATGGAGGTAATAGGTACTGTCCTGTGAATTCCACTGTAACTTTGTAAGTAATATGCCATTACCTTAGAGTCTTACCAAGCATTTCTGCTTTGTGATCACAATAGAGACAGACTTTCCTATTGTTTGCAATTGTGCTCATAAAGACTGAAAACAAACAAAAAATGTTTTTTCCCCCCTCTTAGGACAAATTTGCCTAGTGCTTAACACATTATCTTTCCACCTTCCCTGTGATCCATACTTAGGCCTGAGGCTGGGTTTGCAGTCCTCAGCTCACTTCCTGGCTGTCTTAGTGTGGCAGTACAGGTGATAGCAAGAAGGCTCTGAGCAGGCAAGCCCTCTTCTGTTTCATTCAAGATGCCAATCGTGTTTTATCTGTTCCTGTCCTGCCTGGGAGGTGAAATGAACATTTCTGTCTGTGCTTTTGCTTAAGACACACTCAGGAGGCCTTTGTCCATAGTCTCATGATTGATGCCTTAGGTAGCAACCAAGTCACTAAGAACAAAAGGAACAGGGCTGCCAGAGAAATGGCTCTAAAATTTGGGACCAGGTACTGAGACTCAGGGCACTGGGTTGAAGGGAAATTATTCTTGTGCTATTTTGGAGAATCTCATCCTGAGGACAATTAAACAGTCCAGACAGGTCACTGGGTGAGACCAATTTCCTGGTTTGTTTATTTGAGCCTGATTGCTTTTCACCGTCCAGCAGTGGGTCACAGTCCTTGCTCCACCGGCATCCCAGGCCTGCAAAGAGCAATCCTTTCGTATTTGATTTCTCCAGGCTTCGCTAAGGATCTTCCCATGTCTGTCTGGTTAGATTGATCTGGTGTCTCTTTCAGGCACAGGGCGGAGGACAATGTCAGTAACGACTCTTGACTTCATCTTCTACAGGCATTTGGCTTTATGTCCCGAGTTGCCCTGCAAGCAGAGAAGATGAATCATCACCCAGAATGGTTCAATGTGTACAACAAGGTAACTCAACTGCCTTATTTTGGGATCACCTTAATTATGGAGTTTAAGAAACTTCCTTCTTCCTTGTCATCTTTTGCAGTTAAATGTCATTGTGCTTACAAAAGTGTCCCCTTATCCTTTCTCTCAGAATTCCTGTGTATTATTGAAAATTAGTAACAAATTTTCAGGTCTGCTCATAAGAACAGTGAATAAGGTTTTTATTTTTATTATTTTTATTTATTTTTTGAGTCAGAGTCTCACTGTCACCCAGGCTGGAGTGCAGTGGCATGCTCATTTTCACTGTAGCCTTGACCTGCTGGGCTCAGGTGATTCTTCCGCCTCAGCCTTCCAAGTAGCTGGAACTACAAGCATGTGCCACCATACCTGGCTTTTTTTTTTTTTTTTTTTTGAGTTGGAGTCTCACTCTGTTGCCCACACTAGAGTGCAGTGGCCGCTCCCGGCTCAACCTGCTGGGCTCCACTTGCTGGGCTCCGGCGATCCTTCCACCTCAGCCTTCCAAGTAGCTGGAACTACAGGCGCGCGCTACCACGCCTGGCTAATTTTTGTTGTTGTAGAGATGAGGTCTTGCCGAGTTGCCCAGGTGAGTCTCGAACCCACATGCTCAGGCAATTCACTCACCTCAGCCTCCCAAGGCGTGGGATTACAGGCTGAGCCACCAAGCCTGGCTTAATTTTTTTATTGATTGTAGAGATGAGGTCACGCCAAGTTACCCAGGCTGGTCTCGAACCCGTGGGCTCAGGCAATCCTGTCACCTCGTCCTCCCAAATTGCTGGAATTATAGGCATGAACCACCAAGCCCAGCCAAGCTCTTTATTTTCATGCTTGTTTTCTACTGAAGCTAATATGAAAAAGTTGAGCCAAATTAGGCTCCCGAATTAAATTTGAACATCAGCCAGGCAGACACATTTTAAAATTTAAGTCAAATTATTGAAGGAAATGGCAGCAAATGAGATAGATATGGCCTTACTTATCTCATTGAAATGAGTTTGCTCAAGAACTGTGCTTTAAAAACTATTTATTAGATTTGTATCCCCAGTGTGGACTGACCTTCTTACTTAAGACAAAGGGCAGACTAAAAAGTTTTAAGGGGACACAGCGAAAAGTATCATATCCTCCAAAAGTGAACTTGCCATTTGTAATGTCTTATCAACCAAATTTCTGTGAGGTTTTATTTTCCCTTTGGAAGTCTTCTTTGCAAATGAGAATTTCATGATACTCGTGTTGTGATTTATTGGAGTAATTCAAAGCACCTTGGTGCCAGGATAAACTTTTCTTTCCTAGTTGCATCTTTTTGGCTGAGGTGAGTGGATTGCTTGAGCCCTGCGGGTTCAAGACCCACCTGGGCAACTTGGCAAGACCTCATCTCTACAATAAATCAAAAAATTAGCCGGGTGTGGTAGCGCGTACCTGTAGTTCCAGCTACTTGGAAGGCTGAGGCGGAAGGATCGCTGGAGCCCAGCAGGTCGAGGCTGTGGTGGCTGGGAGCGGCCACTGCACTCCAGTCTGGACTCCAACTCAAAAAAACCAAAACCAAAACCAAAAAAAACCAAAAAATAATTTGGTAAGAAGCAACAGTCCACTCCTCACCCTGTCTTCCCTAATTTGGAAATGTGCTTCTTTAACATTGCTGCTAAGGTATTGCATTTGATAACTTGGTCTTTCTAGTGGCCTGAAAATAGTTGGTGTAATTAAAGTAATGGGAGTTCAAATGGAACTTCAGTTTCTCTCTCTCTCTTCAAGAAACAAAATTTGAGATCCTGGCAGCTGAATTGCCTCTACATATGAGAGGACCTTTTTATCCTGGGTGACTGCTGGACCCAGCCTGATGTAGATTGTGCCCTTGGAGTTCACTGGGTTTTGGAAATGATTTGCTTATTCATATTGTAGTATTTTGTAAATAATTTAATCCCCTCATTTCTCAAATATGAATGTTGAATGATAGATTGATTTATGAACCACCAAAGGAGAATTCTATGAATTGCAGCTCTGGGTTTTAAGAATGACTTTTCTTTTTCTTAGGTCCAGATCACTCTCACCTCACATGACTGTGGTGGACTGACCAAAAGAGATGTGAAACTGGCCAAGTTCATTGAAAAAGCAGCTGCTTCTATGTGATTTCTTCCAAAATGCGTGTAAAGTCTTATATAAATCTTAGTTGCAATGTATTTTGAAGGCAGTTTGCATGAATAAATTAAGTTATTCTTAAAGGCATCATATCCCGAGGCAGAAATAAAAGAACAAATTAAGTTGTAAATTTAGCTTACCTTTAAATACTACATTTTGTAAAATCAGTGCTTAAATACAAAATGATTTAAACTTGAGCCTGAGGTATTTTTCATTATCTCGAATCACATATACGCAATAAACCAACCTAGTTAATTATAAATATTCAACAAGAGAAATGGCATTTTTTAAAGACCAGAAATTAGGTTGGAAGAGTCCTCATACATTTTATTTATTACTCAGAAATTCAAGCAATTATGGTGTCTTTACACATGGATTGTGTTGGAAAATAATTGTAAGGTGGAAAAAAATTATGACTTCTGTGGATAATATAACAGCTCTTTTTTTTTTTGAGTTGGAGTCTCACTGTGTCACCTAGGCTGGAGTGCAGTGGCATACTCACAGCCACCACAGCCTCGACCTGCTGGGCTCAGGGCAATCCTTCTGCTTCAGCCTTCCAAGTAGCTGGAACCACAGGCATGCGCCACCATGCCCAGCTAATTTTTTGATTGATTGTAGAGATGAGATCTTGTCAAGTTGCCCAGGCTGGTCTCAAATCCATGGGCTCAGGCAATCCTCTCGCCTCCATCTCCCAAAGAGCAGGGATTACAGGTGTGAGCCACTGTACCCGGCTATTTGACTCATTAAGTTAAGAAGAAACTAGGGGTCATTTTTTTCATCACTTGCATTTTGTGACCACTGAACTGAGGTCCACAGCCACTGAAGCTAGAAGCTACTTGGGTGTGATACAGTAGGGAGCTCTACTTACTCGTGTGTCACTGAAAGGAGTAAAGAGGAATATCAAGTGATCTATTTAAAAATTGTGATAGTATTTGAAGGATCTCAGGAATGTACTTACTAATGAGATTATGATGCAGATTAAAATAACATATATCTCCATCCAAGGAGCATCATTATGGGATTTAACAGGGACCATCTTTGTAACCCACCTTACTTTAGAGGCCAGAAAAATCCCTCTATTTACATCGGGCAAATACATCCCCCACCTCAAACCTAAGAAAACATATGGGAACGTGGCAAGGAGTCTGAACTCTTTGAAGCCAGTTCCTGGATGGTTCTTTTGGCAAGGGAAAGACAGGAATGGTCAGCTTTCCTGTGGGCATAGGGTATGCAGGAAGAAGAGAGAAAAGAGTCATCCAGTTTTTATGAGGAAGGGTCTGAAACATCCTGGAATTTATTTATTAAAAATTGTGTATTTATTCTTACATGTTTAAGCTTCAGTTACCTTCAAAGTGCTCTCCGTTTGATACAGTATACCTATAGAGATACTTTTTCCACTGCTCAAAGCAGTTTTTAAACTGGTCAGTTTTGATGCCTTTTAAAAGTGCTACTGCCATTTTTGTTTCACTTCTTCCACATCATCAAAACATTTCCCTTTGAGGACTTTTTCCATCTGGGGAAACAAAAAAAAGTCACTCAGGGTGAGATGTGTGAACAGGGAGGGTGGGGCACGGAGGTCATGCCATCTTTGGTCAAAAACTGCTGAGTACTCAGTGTGGTGTGGGCAGGTTGTTCATCTTAACCACCCATCATGAAATGGGCAAATGCACTGAAAGAATCTCAAAAAAAAAAAAAAAAAAAGCACTGAAGTGGAGTGCAGCCTCTCACAACAACTCTAGCTGGTACACTGATGCTGATGGGTTCCTAGAACACTCACGTAGTGGGGGAAGCCAGTACTACAAGGGGCCTGCCTTCCAAAAGATAATTCTGGTTTTATTGTGTGTCCTCCATCGTGTAGCTGCTGGGGGATTCCCAACCCAAACACTGGAGCTTCTGTTTCTTAGAATTTTTTCAAAGGAAAAGACATAGCTATGTGTTTTTATAAGCTCTTTCCTATACTATAGAGTTGGAACTGTTATGCATTTTATTACCAATTTTTTTTTTGAGTTGTATCACTGTGTTGCCCAGGCTGGAGTACGGTGGCACGCTCACCCATTGTCGACCTGCTGGGCTCTGGCAATCCTTCTGCCTCAGCCTTCCAAGTAGCCAGAACTACAGGCGTGTGCTACCATGCTCAGCTATTTTCTATTTACTGTAGAGACGAGGTCTCGCCAAATTGCCCAGGTTGGTCTCGAACCCGTGGGCTCTGACAATCCACTCACCTCAGCCTCCCAAAGTGCTGGGATTACAGACTGAGACACCGAACCCGGCCACCAGCTGAACCACTGCTTCAGTTTTTTGCACTAATTTTTTTAACATGAAAAATTTTAAACATATTCAAAAACAGAGTGAACAGTACATTAACCCTTATATACTGATCACTCAGATATAAAACATGCCAAGATTTGGCCCCAACTGCTTGATATAATTCTGTTGTTGTTCTTTGCTGAAAGAGTTAAAGGCAAATTCAAAACAGTATATCATTTCACCCCTGTAGCCTCAGTAAGCAGCTATAGAAAATATGGCCATTCTTCTGTATAAACCACAATACCATTATCATACCTACAAAATAAACCATGATTCCTTGATACCACCTAATACCCAGGCAAAATCAAATTAACCTAAGCGTTCAGGAATGTCTTTGAACAGTGATTTTTTTGTTGTTGTTTCTGAGTTGGGATCTCGCTGTCACCCAGGTTGGAGTGTAATGGCACAATCATGGCCCACTGTAGCCTCAACCTCCTGAGCTCAGGTGATCCTCCTGCCTCAGCTTCCTGAGTAGCTGGAGTTATAGGCATAAGCCACCACTCTGGTCCAGGACCATAACCTGGTTGTAATTGGATCCCTATGAGGTCCACCCATTATATCTGGTTATTGTGTCTCTTTAATCTCTCTTAACCTAGAGCTAGCTCTCCTCTCTCCCTGCTTTCCCCTTGTTACTGATTTATTATAAAAACCAGGTCAATTGTGTGTAAAACATTTTGCCTTCTGGGTTTGTTTACTTCCTGTGGTGTCATTTAACTTGTTTCACTGGATCCTACATGGAATCCTTTCCCTCTGTTTGGAATATGTAAGTCTGAGAGGCTACACTCTGTGTGAACAGTAACACATATCGCAAGTGGAGGGAGCAGGATGTGGCTTGTAATGACATGGTGAAGACCTGAGGATGCAGTTACTAGTTAGCACCTACATGAGGGTTTGATATAAGGTCCATCCATGTCAAGTGGGATAGCATCTGCTGGTGCTCACAGACTTTGCTATAGAGAACCAGTGATCCCATCTCTGAAGCCTATGGAATACTCATTGTGGTAAATTCTAACAGAACGACTCCCCAGACTTGCGTCAAGCAACGCACATTTCAACTTAAAAGAGACATTGTCAGAGTTGGAGGTTCCAAGTTCCTGTCTGTTCCAACAAATCTTTGCATGAAGACAGTGATTTCTCTGATGTGGTAAGCTTTGGTTTCCCTCCATTTTCTTTCTAAGCGATCACTGGAGTGGAGAGGAGTTAAACCGACGTGACCTGTGACCCCTTGCCTGACCTCCACAGAGAGCAAACCAGGACCAGCATGTTTGACAGTGTCTTTTTCTAAAATGAAGTTAATGAAAGTTCTGAAAACAATGGTTACTTTCTGACACTGATAGGATTTAGGATATCTTTGGATAAATTAAGTGTGATTCTTCATGTTTTTGCTATAGACAGCAGCTGTATGTATATTGTATTTGGACACAGGCCTGATCGCCATCAACATATTGAACTCCTGGACTGCTGTCATGTTAGTATGGCAGTCTACATGTGTCTATATCAGCATTCAAAAATAAGCTAGTTAACTCTGTAACTTCAAGTTTTGTAAAATTATCTGCGAAACATCGAGTTGCGATAGGGTTTGGCTATAATCTGTGAGCTTTGTTTTCAATGCCAGTCACTTGGGACTAGGAAAGAAGGGACTCTGTCTAGAAGATACAGTACTCACCGGCTGCCATGCCCGATGATTGCTGACTTTTCCCGCTGTCTGGGGCTGAGGTCACGTTGCTCACAGTGGGCAGAGTGTGATTTGCTGCATAAGAGGCGGCCCTTGTCTTGCCCACGCATCTATGAAAAGAAGCGGATGCTTTCAGTAGGCCCTGGATAAGCTTGTCACCGTGGATTTCCTGTTGTGTTCTTCTCACCCAGCTTGAGTGCCATTCCCAGATTAAATGCTGTTATCGGTGACTTCAGAAACAACGTTCAACTGTGATTGGCTGTGCTGATGTAGCACACCAAAAACAGTTGGGATCTTCTCTGCTGCTCTCAGCTGGCTAACTCTCCTCGCCCCTCCAAGCATCATGAAAGAATTCTTTGTTGTTGTTGTTCTTGTTGCTGTTTGAGTCAGGGTCTCAGTCTGATACCCAGGCTGGAGTGCTGTGGCATGATCACAACTCACCACAGCCACCACCTTCTATGCTCAGGCGATCCTTCTGCCTTAGCTTCCCAAGTAGCTGGGACTACAAGCATGTGTCACCATGTCCGGCTACTTTTTTTTTTTTTTTTTGGTAGAGATGAGGTCTTACTGGTGAGTCTTGAACTCCTGGACTCAAGCAATCCTATTGCCTCAGCCTCCCAAAATGCTGGGATTACAGGTGTGAGCCACTGGGCCTATGAGTTGATGATTTTAAATGGAAAAAAATGATTAAATAAGATGTTTCCTATGCAGTTTACTGGTTACCTACAAGAGTACTTTCCTAATAGGAGTGGTCATATACACTTTTTTAGACTACCAGGGACAGCAGAGGTGGTGAGGTGGTTACCTCCTTTTCTTGTGGTCCAAGGACTTAGGTGTCCAGGAAATTGACCAATTTAGCCACTAAACATTTAATACCACACAAGACTACCCAGACCTCACTGCCTTGATTTTTCTTGGAAGCTAAAGGAGTTTTGAGGAGAGTGAAGAGAACATATTAATTCTGAGAATTGAACACAGCAAAAATTTCTGTTGCTCTTGTATTTAAAACTTTTCTACCCCATGGGCTCACCCCTTACATTTTGTCTAGGGGGTTTCTATGTGCTCTATATGCACATGTCATGCCCACAATCAGCCAATGCGGGGTATATGTTCCTTTTTTTAAAAATTTTTTTTAAGAGATGGGAGTCTCACTCTCTCACCCCCCAGACTGAAGTACTGTGGCACAATCATAGCTCACTGACAGTAGCCTGGAAT